GGTCGGCCACCAATCCTGGCTAATTGAGTATGTGCTCAATAAATTACCCTGTCAGACTGAGATCAGTGTTCATCGGATGGTTTGTGAGGTGATTCCTGGAACCCAACATGTGAGGCGAGAGACCAACCCAGGGCTTCGAGCACACCAGTGAGCCACATTCCCAACCCTGCAGCAGGCATTTATCAAGTATTTAAAAAGCACAAAGTTCAAAGTTTAGCCTAAGCCTATTCGCCCAGTTCTTCAGATAGTCTCATCTCAGTCAAATCATTCTTCAGTTAAGTTTATTGACTGATAACATACATAAAACATACACATTATACACATCTACGGGCGCCATACAATGTTTTGATTTGGCCACATTTTAAATAAGTTAAAAAAAAAAAAAAGACAGGGGCTGGAGAGATGGCTCAGCGGTTAAGAGCACTGACTGCTCTTCCAGAGGTCCTGAGTTCAAATCCCAGCAACCACATGGTGTCTCACAACCATGCGTAATGAGATTGGATGCCCTCTTCTGGTATGTCTGAAGACAGCTACAGTGTACTCATCAATAAAATAAATAAATATTTAAAAAAAAAAAAAAGACAAAACACCACAATCAAAATTCACCTTAAGCCCTGCACTTAAAATCTCATGGCTTCCCAGGCGGTGGTGGAGCACGCCTTTAATCCCAGCACTTGGGACCAGCCTGGTCTACAGAGTGAGTTCCAGGACAGCCTGAGCTATACAGAGAAACCCTGTCTCGAAAAACAAAAACAAACAAACAAACAAACAAAAATCTCGTGGCTTTTTTCTTTGATGAAATCCAATATTGTTTAAGGAGATAATCCAGTAGCAGAATCCTTGCCTAGCAGGTAGAAGGCCCCAAGTTCAAGCCACAGCACAAAACAAAAGCAAGCAGACAAAACCCAACATTGTTCCACTCTGGCAGTCCTGGATGCCCCTGCCCCCTGAAGATCTTTTAGTCTCTGTGGTCACCAATGAAGAATGACCGAAATTCCTCTGCCAAGACTTAGCTGGCTCCCAATGTGACTAACTACAGAGAAGCTCAGGTGCAGGACTGAGGCTCTACTCTGCACGGTGCACGGTGCAGTGCTGAGTCCTTAGCTAGTCATGGGCATTCCATCGTCAACTCCTCCTCCCACTCCTACTTAGAGGGATCTCAGACTATACTGAAAGTTTCATTTCCTAGGATTTGAAAATACGTGAGTTCTGGGCACAGCAGGGCACACCTTCAATCCCCCCTGCTTGAAGAGACAAAGGCAAGAGGAGCTCTGTGAGTTCAAGACCAGCCTGTTCTACATAGTGAGACTCTGTTACAAATAAACAAATAAATAAAAACAGCAAGACAACAAAAAAAGAAAAAATATAAGTAACATAAAGCATATTTTAATGGGCAAATGGATAAAGACAGAGAGGGCTGGAGAGATGGCTCAGGAGTTAAAAGTATTGGATGCTCTTCCAGAGGCCCCAAGTTCAATTCCCAGCACACACATGGCGGCTCACAACCATCTGTAACTGTAGCCCTGTGGAATCTGATCCCCTTTTCTGATGTGCAGATGTACATGCAGACAAAACACCCGTAGACATCAAACAAAGAATCCCAGCACTCAGGAGGCAGAGGCAGGTGGATCTCTTGAGTTTGAGGCCAGTCTGGTCTACAAAGTGAGTACCAGAACAGCCAGGGCTATACAGAGAAACCCTGTCTCAAAAAACAAAAACATTAAAAATAAAAGCAAACAAAAAATCAGATCCTTTAACTCCTGTGTTTCTTGGTGTTCCAGAAATAATCAAAATTATGTAACAACACGATTATCATCTGTTGAATACTGAATATTTAAATCACTCAAAACTCAGATTACATGAGTACACAGACTATGTCTCAAATATATGTCTCTATATATGTATTATGTATATATATGTACATATATATATATTTGTGTGTGTGTGTGTGTGCGTGTGTGCGTGCGTCTGTATGTGTGAGTGAATGACATGGAGACCTGGGACAGATATAGTAAGACTCTTGACAGACAGATATAGTCGATTCCACATTTGCTTAACAGGAAGTTTCGTTTGCCAGATTGATCCTAAAGAAGGTTCCAAATCTGGAACCTGGACTCGGTTGCTAATTATTCTCTCACTAATCTTTCTAGGCTCATGCATGACTAGACAAAGCCTGGTAATTGCTTCATCCTCCACATCTGGCAGGAGGCAAAGGCTGGCTACAGGTCACGTAATGAATGCACAGCTGAGACAGGATGACCGCCATCCCTCTGACCCCAGAGAATCAGCTCCTTCATGCTAACTGCTCTGAGTGGAAGGGTAACACTGATTTTATTTTTGAAACATTTCTCATTAATATAATAGTCCAGGCTGGTCTAGAGCCTGCTATGTAGCCCAGGCTGGCCTCAGATTCATGATCCTGCTGCTTTAGCTGCATCCTCTTTTTTATTTGGTGCCAGTTTCCAGTTAGCATGAAGGAGCTGATTCTCTGGGGTCAGAG